TTGGAATAACAAAGCAAAACAGAGTTGCCATATGGGCACGAACATATGTTATGTTATGATGTAATGCTATTTTATGTTTTGTTATGTTATATTACGTTATGTTATGCTATGTTATGCTATGTTATGTTATGATGTTATGTTATGTTGTGTTATGATATGTTATGATGTTCGTTATGTTATGTTACGTTGTGTTGTGTTGCATTGTATTGAATTGTGCTGTGTTGTGTTGTATTGTGCTGTATTGTGTTATGTTGTATTAAGTTATGTTATGTTATGTTATGTTGTTGTTATGCTATGTTATATTATGTTGTGTTATGATGTTATGGTATATTTTGTTACGTTATGTTATGATGTTATGTTATGTTATGATGCTAGCTATGTTATGTTACGTTGTGTTGTGTTGTGTGTTGTGTTGCATTGTATTGAATTGTGCTGTGTTGTGTTGTATTGTGCTGTGTTGTGTTATGTTGTGTTAAGTTATGTTATGTTATGTTATGTTGTTCAACGCATCAATTCACCTCAATTCACTTCAATACTCAACTTAACTTAACTCGGCTCAGCTCAGCCAACCTTAATTCCCCTTAATTTAAAAGGTTGAATTTCAACCGCTGGGCGAACACTAGTATACTTAATAAGCCCATGAAGTTAACAGGTTTATACACCCCTGAGCCCTGGATTTATTGAAGAATAACGCCGTTCTGGTTGTAATATTGTAGCTCTTTTTTCGAAATACTAACGTTGTTGGCGTTTTCAAGCAAAGCTGGTAATATCCAATTCTTAACCAACACTGCAACTACAGGTCGTGGGGTTATTAGGCTATCGTCATCCTGGAGATATAAGCATTTACAGAAAATGCTAATTAGGCCAAGGGTATAAAATGTAAAGGATATGATTATCAAAGTTTTCAAACAGCCTTAGCCACCATCAGCCATATGTTTCCTAAACTTCCAGAGCCCATCTACGAAAAAAGATCGGCTACGTTTCCATGGAAGATTGTGTTGGAGACTATGAACTAACTATGATCCATTTGAACCGAAGCTATGAGAAAAACTGTGTCTAGTCACCGCCCATTAACAGGTACATATTCCGTGCTTTGAGGTCTGACCACTTAAGGCCAAATTATTAGTAAAAGAGTCCCTTATTTTATGTACAACTCTTGTCAGGTCATCGCTGATCTAACGCAATCGAAACTGAAGTCGGACTTTCTGTGATCAGTTTCGAGTATATGATTAAGAAAAATGAGTTTAAATTTCCGCCAAGTTAAAAAAATATACACTCATCTGCTCTGTTTGAAATACACATCAGGGCGTAGAAGAGAGGTATTTATGTTAATAAAAATATGTGTACAAAGACTATTCCGTGAATTTATTTTAAAAACTGTTTTCATAGAAGTCTAAAGGTTGATTGAACATATAGGAAAAGCTTAAACATTTCACCTCTTTTATGTTCCTAGGATCTGCTTGATACATACATACACATTAGAGTGCATCACTCTCAATACAAAAAAATCTTAGTTTTTCCCATTGGAATTGTATTTAGAATTTATTACATTTTAAGAATTCCGCCAAAATATTACGGACAAATACTAAGACTTAGGTGAGCTGGGGCGATTAGAAAATAAATAGAATTCGAATTTTTATAAATAAAATTATAAAATTAGTTTAGATGATAGAAGAGATTAAGATTAAAATGTCTGCATAAAAGTGTTTGAAAAAGTGATCAAACAAACGAAAATAATGACATTTCAGGAGGTATTTTCAACTGAAGTTAGACGCTCACGTAAACTTTAATATTTTTTCTAAATACTTTGCCGGAAGTTTTAAAATACATATATATAATCGATTTTATAATTAAGGTGGAAAAAGTTCAAACTTTTTTGGTTATGCACCCTAATGCACATAAGTTTGTACTTTTCAGCAACGTTTTACTTTGCTTAACTTTGTATGAACATATGCAATAAATATATGTATTCCCTTACTTCTACAAAGCAGCAAGTAAAAAATATTGACATTGCAAAAGACTTGCAAACTGGTACATACATACATATTTACATATGTAAACATATGTAATTTTTTAAGGAGTGTGCGTATTTATTTACATACGGTGATGTGTGCGAGACTGCAATTACAAATAACAACACAAATACATATGTACATATGTATGCATGTACAACTTTCTTACTTGCATATAAACAAAATCACTCATTCGTAAATACATACGTGAGCGTACATAAATTTACTTACTGCATATGTATGTAAAATGCTGCATCCCACCTAACCAAATACGAATTGCTTATACATAAATAATTACATTTAAAAACTTTACGGGCGAGTGCTTGAACAATTTTTCATGATTTTGTGTTGTTTGAATAATTTCATCTGTGAAAAAAGTGAACACTGCCGACTTCCTTCGGAGAGAAAGCTTGCAATATAAATAACCACATATTACCGGCTCATATGTACACACCCTTCCCGAGGTCTAGACTCTAAAATCGATCTGAGCCTGTTTCGTATAAGGGTATGGCTTATATAATTTCCAAGATTTCATTCTTGATAATTCCTAGCTTTTAAATCGAACTTTACCCATATTTGATTGGATTATGTTTTAAAGGAGGCATCAGGTCAAAGTCCTTGAAGTTGTGCATTAAATCGAATGCAAGAGTCTACTAGAGTGTGCTCCGTGCTATCAAAAGTACCCTCTATTGCTTTCTCTTTTATTGTATTAATTTTTCTTATCAAAGATTTTTTTTTTAATTTTAATTTTTCCTATTTTATTTAATATCTTTTAATTTTTAGTTAATTAATGTTTTTATTTAATATCTTTTGCTGTTTTATTTATTTTTTTATCATTTAAAATTTTTTGGTTTTAATGTTTTAAAATAAAAACAATTTTTTTAATTTCACTTAATTCATAGAAACCTATTTAATGATTTTTTAAAGTATTTATTCTGTTTCAGTAAATGTTTATTAATATTTAATTTTCTTAAAATTTTTAGATTTTACGGACTTAAAAAAGCAAAATATATATTTTAAATTTCATTTCGTTTTTAGACACTTATCTTATTATTTGTCTCTTTATTTTTTAATTTTTTTACTTTTACATTCCACTTACAAAAAAAAAAACAGTTGCATGTAAATTTCAAGGATTTACGATTTTTTTTTCTTTTTTTTAATTAATATTTTTTCTTTTTAGTTTATTATTAGTTTTTTTTTGCATTATATTACTTTAAAAGAAGGGTATCTTTGAAATTTCATTTAATTTTTAAGAACTTACCTAATTTTTCTTTTTCTTTTCTTGTATACAGTTTTTATTTAATTTCCTTTCATTTTTAGATTTTATTGTTATAAAAAGAAGAATATTTTTTAAAACTTAATTAAATTTTTAGTAAATTATCTGGTTTTTCTTCTTATGATTAAGTTTTATATATTATACATATCTATTATTTTAAGAACAAAAATATATGTTTTTTTTTTAATTTCGTTAAATTTTTGGGGACTCATTTATTTTTTTCTCTTTTATATGATATTTTTTTCAACTAAATTTTTCCATAATTTCCATAAAAACTATCGGAGTAACGCTAAGGCCTGCTTGTTAGAAGATATTTCAATAAGTCTTTCGTAAGATTAGAAGGGACACATTTTAAATGAAATGTAAAAATTATAGAGTATATTGATGAAATCTCAGCTTGCTGTTAAAAAGCTACACAAAGTGTGCTAATTTTTGGTCTCAGTGTAATTTCGGTATATATCACCGACTTATTTCTGTAAAAGTTTCGTTGATGTGGCAGTAGAGTATAAGTGCGCATACGGATACGCTTACTTTACATGCTCATTAAATTTCTCCCTGCTTATTTTCGCTGCATATTTTTCCACTTTAATTTGCCAAAATAAAATTTTAATTTTTTTCGCACGCAGATGAACCGTATCACCGCACAGCAAGGACGACTGCGGCGCACACAACCGCAGCACCAACAACTAAAAAGGATATTGTGGCAGGTAAAACAAGAGACTTCAATTTGGATGCACGCCACTCGAAAAAAATGAAAGAAGATTTCACTGGCGGAGGAGGTGGGCTTACTGTGTTAATGACTGCGGAGAAGACAGATGCAAATCAACCGCTAGCTGCTGCCACCAGCCACGGAAATGAGAAGGAAATAGATGTACAACTCTTTTGGCTGGAAAAGATCTATGCACTTAACAAGCAGCTGCAGCGCGAAGAGGAAATGCTGCTGAAGTTGCATGCAAAAATAAGAAAACATCAGGTGAAGCGCGCCTATCAAACAAAGCGCGAGGTGGTGCAACAAATCGAGAAATTGGATGCAGAGCTGACGTTGCAGTGTTGTGACATACGCGCGGTGGAGAGTAAATTGCACGCTTCCAACGAGCAATTGAAACAGAAGTTGGGCGTGTTGGAGCGATTGAGTCAAGAATTTCTGGAGACGATGGACCAAGCAGCGCCAGCAGCGGAGGCTGAAGAGCAAAGTGTAGCCGAAGTGGCAGCCGATGCTGATAGTGAGGCAACTGTTAATCGAATGCCAGATGTAATTAACAATGAAGATCACAATCTTGCAACAGAGATGGCGTTGCGTGCCACAGCGACAATGGCGAGGGAGAATAAATTGCAAGAAGCGACCGTTGATCAGTTGCATGCAAAACAGATGACGACGGTGGAGTTTGGTGGACAGCAACAAGGTTGCCAGTTGCAGTCACAAAGAAGTGGCGTGGCCGATGAAGATGTGTGGCACAGACAAAATAATGCCAAGTTGCACTTGCCGCATGCAATCCAGTCAGCCACCCAAGCGTTGCATACAGATTTGAATGGCAGAAGTGATTCGAAGGCGTTGGGGGAAGAAAGTACAGCAGCAGCAGCACCAACAACAGGAATAGTAACAGTACCATCATCTGCTGAGGACGGAGAAGCAACAAGAACAACAACAGCAGCTGCTGAAGAAGCTGCTGCCATGGCAGCAAGCCACTCATCAGCGGCAGCCTTCAAACTGACAGCGACAAGCTGTGCCGTTTCATCGTCAAGTGCAAGAATGACAGCAGCAGTAATAACAACAACAACAACAACAAGACCGTTGGCAACAACAATAAATGCCACAGCAGATGTAACAACAGTCGCCGCAACTGCATGCAACATGCCAGCTATGTCGCCGGCGGAAGGAAAACCAACCACGGCACTTCATCTTGCTCAGCTGCAATTGCCACAACTACAGCAAGAACAATTGCCGCTGCCTGCAGTAGATAATTCGCAACAATGTGTCGATGCTGATGACGTTCTCGTCGATGCACATGCAGCCGTTGGCGGAGTGGTGTTGCCACAAAGCAATTATCCAATTAGTTGCATTAATCATGCGGCCATACATGCCACCAGCCAACTCTCAACGAGGCAAATTATTGTCGCAGCTGGTGGTGATGGCCTCAGCACAGCGGTGGCTGGCAAGTTAACGCCTGAGCAAACATTGTCAGCCGCCTATGCAACAGTGTCGTCGTCGTCGACAACTTCGTCGTCACCTTCTCCGTCGTCTCCGTCGTATCCGTCATCGTTGTCAATGGCAAATGCTTCAATTATGCAGCAACAACAACAGCTGCAACAGCAACCACACCAGTACCAGCCGCAAATACTGCCGCACCGGCAGCATATCAACATCAACAGTTACATGCACAGCAACTGCGCCAGCAATTACAACAACAACAATACCAACCACAGCAACAGCAAAGACAATCATACAAATGACAAGAATTTGCTACCGCCTTCGCATGCCGCCCACACGAAAACGTTGCAAAAACAAATGTTCGGTCCGAAATCTCTTAATCAAATGCTGCCAGCTGCACCGCCGCCAAAAATAATACAGGTTTCAGCAGCACCAATGAGCAGCACACCTTCCACTTCGACTATAGCCGTAACGCCTTGCCCGCATGCTGGCTTCGGTATACCGTCAATGTTAGCACCGTTGCGCCCCACAACGCCAACAGCGCTGTTGCCTCCTACACCTGTAATGCCCTTTGATGTGACAACGCAGCGCAGCAGTGTTGATATCACGCAGTTGGGCACACTGGTCTAAAGATAACGATGAGGTTTTGTCGTTGGTCAACAGCCACGCTGTCACACAGCCATCGGTAGCCAGTGGGCATATGCACATGGCACAAAGGGAGTGGCCCCAAGTTGTTCAGTGCAGATATGACGTACTTACGTAGGTTCCTCTTTCGCGGTAATGATGTGCGCTGCACAGTGGTTGGGAGTTGGTAAAAATTTTGTGTGTGGCAAAAATTTTTAAGAGATTCGGAGATTTTATTCAAGTTAAGAAAATGTATATACATAAAGTTCATATATAAAACATGCATACATATACATAACTTTGAAAGTAGATTTAAGTACATACAAAAAATAATAATATAGTACCTCATTATAATATTTATTGGATTCGGCAAATGAGGAAAATTAAATATATTCAAAAATTTTCTGAAATGCATAAATATATTGATATATTTTAACCAAAGACTTTGTCTCTTTTTGGATTTATTAAAGTAGGTCTAGAAATAAAATATTTCGCAAGCAACAGGCTATATTATAACTGTACACCATCAAAGGCAAGCTGTAAGGGTTACCAGCAACGTATTGTCTACATAAGCTAGATTCGCTTAAGGTGGATGACCAAGGTAAGAGGCACACTATGATGTATTTTGTAGTACGATTATTTAATGAGAGATATTCGCTAAATTTTGCACGGTCGATGTTTAAATAAAAACAATTATAGTAATTACAAAATTTTTTAATATATTTAATATAATTAAATTTAATTTAATATGGATAAACCTAAATTAAGGTAGACCACTCTTCCACCAAAGTCTGACATGAAGCACATTGAAATCGTTTTGGGCAGGAAAGTGTCGTGAAAGAGTGGGTGTGAAAGGCCTCGGCAGCGCGGTACACATGTAAGAATATGTTGGGCTGCTCTTGGTGGCTTTGACCCACTCCTTTACATTGGATATTCACAGCTATCGTTAAGCCAACACTAAACATTCTATGGGGTAACGAAAACGAAGACATATCTTAAAAGACTCGAGAGTGTTTACCGGCTCTCAATGATCAGTATAACGGGTGCCTTGAGGACAACATGCCACCAGCGGACTTAACAGCAAAAAACTTAGCGTTTAAAACTGTCAGACTGCGTGCTCTGGGGCTCTGGAAGCAAAATAAAGCGCTGCCCACTGTCGAAGACCTGGGTTCACCGTAAACCCCGCACGAAATTTCTAAGCCGCAGTGACTGGAATCAGGAAAACTTCGGTGAGAAGTGCATGTGCATAATTTATTAATGAAATTTCGCGCATTAAGCCTTATATATATTTATATATATGCGCTTTATTTCCGGTTCTTTACCAATTGATTGGGGGTGTAGCATACCTTTAGGCTATAGATAGGTGTTGTTAGTCGGCTAAAGATATTTAAAGTATTAAAACGTAAAGCAGAATAACCAAAACTAAGGTAAACTCAAGTACTCTCAACACATTGTATGCTAAATAAAACCTAGCCATTTTGCAACATTTAAAAACACTGTACATCGCCATGTTCAATGTCATACACTGAGTTCCTATTATCTATCCAAGCATTGCCCCACAGCAATGACATCACATGGGAGCCACTTATTATTAATCGTTGGACATTTGTGCCAACGCTTAGGCAACATTACAATACAATACAATGCAGATATTTATAAAGATATTTGTAAACATGCTTGCATACCTAAATGTACAGACATACATACACACATATGTAAACGTTTATCGTGGTCCAACGGTGCAAAGCTTAATCGAATGTGGATATATTTTTAAATTTTTATTTCGATATCTGTTTTTTTTTCTAACACAAAGTGACCTAACTTGCGTGTCGTGTTTTCCATGCATTCTATTGTTTTAGAACCTACGAATGTATGCAATACATACATATATTTTTTAGTATGTACACTAGGCAGGGTTGCGAAAAAAACGAAATGTCCCTTTGTTTGAGAGTTTAATTTGTGAGAATTTTAGTGCCATTATATTTGAATAGATACCACATATTTATCCTTTTAAGATTACATTAAAGTACCTTCACCGACTAGTGAACTCGAGTTTAAACCTGGCGTCCGGAGACCTTTTATATCCTCATTTCCAGGAGGAGGCTGGCATTTGAATAATAGTTGGACGCAGTCTATACTTTGGCATTTACGATTACGATCTTGAGACTTATGTATATCTTCGCTACTTCCTCGAATTCTTATCGTAAAGACACCTGGGTGGAAAATGAGGTGAGCTCTAGAACGAAGTGTAAAAGAATAGTTGACTCATTGACCGTCCTGTTATGCTTACCTGTTGTCACTTGGGGTGTGTAGCCAGAAGCCAAGAGATGTTGAATATTTACCTTGAACAAAGCTGCAGGCTCCTACTCCTCCTCTTTCTTCTTCTTCTTCTCCTTATACTTCTTTTTCTCCTTAAGGCTCTCTCTCTCTTTAACCATCTTGCGGTAAATTTTTTAACCTGATGTTTGCACCAGATTTAACCATTGTTGGTTCCATACCTGAAAACAGTGTCCGACTTAAAGAAGGAAAAATATCAACTAGCATCTCCACACCCCTTAAAGCTTGGCATTTCCAGCCTGTATTGAAAGTAGTGTAGGCTCCTCATTAACTAGTTCAATGTGCTGTCGTCATCGATCTCTTTTCCTCCTGAGACTGCAGAATACCGACTGTCACGTCATAATATATGCTGACGACATTGTACTCACAGCAACGGGTAAGCATTTCCAAATGCAGAGAGTAGACTCAAGGTAAATTCCACCAAGACACACGGCGGTTGTTCGACCCTTCCTATTTTATGGGATCACCGTGTAGTGGCCGGCTCTAGAAAAGTCCACTTACTGAAGCATATTGGATAGGGTACAAAGGATCGCAACCACGTTAAGCACAGGTTTCCTGCCCTCGACCCCCAGTACGGCCCTAGAAACTATATGAAATCTTTTTCCNTTGGTTCCATACCTGAAAACAGTGTCCGACTTAAAGAAGGAAAAATATCAACTAGCATCTCCACACCCCTTAAAGCTTGGCATTTCCAGCCTGTATTGAAAGTAGTGTAGGCTCCTCATTAACTAGTTCAATGTGCTGTCGTCATCGATCTCTTTTCCTCCTGAGACTGCAGAATACCGACTGTCACGTCATAGTTTATGCTGACGACATTATACTCACAGCAACGGGTAAGCATTTCCAAATGCAGAGAGTAGACTCGAGGTAAATTTCACCAAGACACACGGCGGTTGTTCGACCCTTCCTATTCTATGGGATCACCGTGTAGTGGCCGGCTCTAGAAAAGTCCACTTACTGAAGCATATTGGATAGGGTACAAAGGATTGCAACCACGTTAACTACGGTAGATATGAAGTGAGTTGCAACGAAATCACATTGAATGGAGAGACCTTAAGTTCGAACACTCAGAAATTCTGGATACCATTCCAGCAACCAAACTTAAGCTGCATTACACCAGCCCAATCTTTTGCTTCGAAAGCAGGTTTTGTTGGACCTAGATCCAAGGTCTACCAGCATCTTTACGGATGGATCAAAGCCCGATAAGAAGGTTGATTTACTCTAATGACTTCTTATCACACCTCAGCATACGGCTCCCTGACCACTGTAGCGTTTTTCAGGTCAAATTAACCGCAAAAAGGGAGACTTCTGTATCGCCGAAACTTCTCTACAGTGCAGCAGCACATCCTCAAAAGTGGCTGTCGAATGGAGAAGGACTTTAAATCTAGCTAGGCCGGATAGTGAAAACTAATGTGGTAAGGGTGTCCGGGCAAAAGTCAACCTGTCTTCGTGTAAACACCGACTGAAATCTGTTTCAGTTGAAATGACCAACGAAAGAACTGAAGCCTTCATTTCTCAAACAATTTGATTAATAGAAAAAACTTAAAAATCAACGCGAAGTCTTAGCCACCTGGAACTTGCACTATATTGTATAAAATTTAATGATCTATAAAACTGCATACCCAAAATTTGTAGAAAAACCAAAAACAAAAAAAAAAATACTTTTGGTGAACATTTTTTTATAACATTTAATTTTTTTTTTCGTTCGGGAGAACCCTACAACTCTTTTCAACTAGTTTTTATTATGTAAAATTTATTAACTGGAACAGGAGAATCGATCGTCGTCAAAATTGCCGCTTTTTCAGCAATTTGCACTAAAAAAATTAATATAAACAAATAAAAAACAAAAAGCGGGCTCAACTAGTGTCTTGAAAATTTTATAAAATTCATCAAATTTATGAACATTAAATTCCATTTATTGACCACCGTGCACCGTAACCCAACCTCCCTACACTGGCGGTCAGAAATGGATGAATAGTGTTTTATTTTTGTAATATTTATGTAGTTACATTGTTTTTCAAACTGAATTGCTTTTTAATATTTTTTTATAATAATAAGCATTGAAATAAGTATTCATCCAATTTTGGCCGTCGGTGTATGTCAAAGTGCTCGGAAAATCTGTATAGCTTTTTCGTCCTGCTCAAAATCCAGTCCAAACAAAACCCAATCCATACCAATTAAATTAAATTCACTCCTAAGCTAAATTCTGATTCTAATTTAATTTCTGATCAAATTAAAATTTTTGAAATTTTATATATACACTGATGGCCACACACACGGTAAATTTTACACACAAAAAAAAAAATAATATATTTGCGAAACTATGGTTAAATTATAGTAAAACTGCGTACTTAGTTTTTTTTCTGACGTCAGGATTTTTTCTAAAAGGACTTTGAAATTTGAAGAACATGATTATTTCAAAAAATTCTTTTTAAAAATTCAGTGCAATGTAGGATAAAAATAAGGGTATAATATAAAAGAAAAAATTTTGTATAATTATAAAAGAATAAAGTTTTGGGTGCATAAGGATGAGTGGACATGGAAATTAACTTTTACAAATTTTGTCCGGAAATATCTTTGAAAAGTTGCAATATTTATTTTTGAAAAATTTTTTATTTGAGGACTAATATACACACGGCATCATCATCGAATTTCGTCCTGCGAACTTCATTAACTTAAAAATATAAATTTTATTAAATGCGCATTTTCAATATCTAGTCGTCCTTGTTAACCCAAAAACTATATTGTTTTAAAATTCTACAGAAATTTCTGTCTCATTTGGGACCCATATTGTTATTCTACATTGCACTACATTGTGCACAAGGGTATATTAATTTTGTTCACATAACGGTTGTTTGTAACANATGTCTGTATGTCTGTCTGTCTGTCCGTCTGTCCGTCTGTCCGTCTGTCCGTGTACACGATAACTCGAGCAAAAATTGAGATATCTCAACGAAATTTGGTATGTAGGTTT